CAAAACCTTTGGGTTAGAACTGGTTAACAATAGAAGTCACTGACCTCTTTCATTGCCCTCTCTACTGCCTCCTTTTGACTAATTACACCCCTACTGCTAGGCTTTTAAAGTTTGCCACTACAGATTATAATTACCCATTAAAATGTTGATTTTTCTTTATATACAACAGCAAAATAGCAAGCAACAAACCTCTGAGTCTGCCTACTATGATTATTTCATTTTCTAAGGAAGCATTCATTATTTTGCTTGATTTTACCAAGGTGTTTATAATAATGACTAGCCTGCTCTAATTCTATTAGCTGAAGCCCACTAGGAATGTTATTAACTTTTATGTTAATTTTAATTTTCAAAGAACAAATCCCCTTAGTCTTCAGATGAAAAGCAGTACCCCCAGCCGCTATATGCAGGGTGTCAGGTACCAGCCTCTGTTGTTTTTACTCTTGAAGGTAACAAGAAAACACCCTGCTGTCGGAGATACTGCAGCTGGCTAATTAACTAAAATTACTATTATTATATATTTTTATTTCAATTGCATTTAAGTGGCTGCACACAAAATACAATTAAAATAAGAATTACTGTAGAATGATGCATCGCCATTGGATATGCAAGATTTTTTTTGTCTAACATTAATTGGCATTACAGGTCAAGTCCAGGGTATTTTAAAAAGGGCATTGTTTTAAAAGACCAGACCAAGGAAGTCCGCTCTTCAGTTCCTTTCTTTGGAATTTAATGCCTGTTGAGTGGGCTGAATAGAATCCCATTCCATAGTAGGTACTCCTAATTATAACACATTATAATTATTTGCAATATACGATTTCACAATACACTTAATAGAGGCACACTGTTCAAAACAATTTGAAAAGTTCAGACTGAGATACATTATTGAATATAAATTGTATAAATTGTGTGTCTATTAAACAGCTACTTAAAAACAAAAAAACTGAATAACTTAAGTAACTTAATAAACAAAAGAAGCAAAGTTGATATTTTGTAGTACATTTTCTATGAATAAAATACAGAACAGTTTCAAAGAAGAATCTGCAGCTTAATAAATGCTAACAATGTCTAGCTGAAACACAAACTTGCCCATCATTATGGGCTATTTTTCTTATTTGCAAGACATTGTGCTTAGAAGCTGATTGAGAGTGGTATTTGTATCCATGTATAGCAAATAAAACCCTGGCACAAGTGGAATCTGGGATTTGCTAACAATATTCAAGAATATGGGCAACAAGTAAGGTAGTAATAGTGGTTTTAAAGCTTTTTAGCATACAAACACTGACGATTTTTTTTTTAACAAGTGTATTAAATTTAATAGCGATGAGCGAGTCTGCCTGGTTTGATTCACCAAGGGTTCGGTGAATCTTGTTCAGTTTGGCAAACCTGAACTTGGAGGCAAAGCCTACTGAAGTCTATGGAGGGTGAATCGTGTTACAAATTTTGGAAATTTTTAGGGCTAGCAGACAAAACTATTGTCGAAAAGGCATGGGAAGCTGGACGCTGCCATGATACACAACATCTTTAAATAACATGCTTAGGGGGATGTCTTAAAACTGCATGTGGTGTTACAGAACAGTATGGGTTTTACAGACAGTCTCAGCAACAGCATACACTGGAAGCATAATTAGCTGTGGAATTATAATTGTTTTCCTTTTATACTTAGCTTGGCTAATGTGCAGCAGCAGCATCCTAATCTTATTCATTTCGGTTTAAAAAAAAATTAAAATAAATGGCGTCCTTACTATAAAATATATTTGAGTCCATTAAGGGAGACAAGAATTCAGGAGGCTGGAAAACTGGCAAAGAGACAAGTTGTTAGCCAGCCTCTGTTTAGCCCCTCCCCTACCTAGCATGCCTCAGTTTCAGGAGAAAGAAATACACACAAGGACAACACAGAGGCGTGAGATCTACACCCCTCAATGGACTTAAAGAAAAAGATTTTAACCTCTTGCCGTCCGCCCGTAGTAAAAAAACGGACGGACGGCACTGCAGCATCTGCGGAACAAAAATCTTATTTTGTTCATGGGCCAATGAGGGACACAGGGATTTAGAAACCCTTGGTAAGTCCAAAAGCAGTCCAAATGGGGGGTGGGCAACAATCACTGATTGATCAAAGATGGAATCATCTGAACAGAGGACAAGCAGAAGGACCAGCTCTCAAATCTAATCCACATAAGAAATCCAAAGCAGGACAAGAAAGTTTGCTACAAACCGAAGGCAGACAACAGAGGATCAATCTGATATTGAGACAAGGAAAGAAGAAAGGCTCCACCTAAGGTGACACTAAGCCCACACCATCAGCATCCCATACACGTAGCCAGTGTGCCCTATGCATTTGTGCAGATGTCAGTCTCATGCAAGACATCAGTCACTCTGTGCATTTCGGTCTAAAAAAGTTCTCCAAGAGATTCTGCGCATAAATTCTCTAGGACAGCGAATCTTGAACCATAGGATTCACTTTGAACCCATGTTGCCTTCGAACACGCAGCTGTTCCCTGATATTGCAAACTAAGATTCAGCTACAAAAGTGATAAACACATTCAAGGGAATTGATCAAAACTGGAGCAGGCAGAATCTGGAGCAGTTGTCCATGGCAACCAAGCAGCTTCTCTCTTTCATTTTCCAATTTTAACTGAACAAATAGATTCCCTTCATTGTACAATGCCGGTCATGTCTTTTTTTGGGTTTTGTCAACAGACTCACTCACCGGCCTATAATCAGTCTATTGTTTTTGTCCATAGATTGGGCGACTGCTGCTGCTGCTATCACCTATGCTTAATTCATTCACTATTCTGGCAGTAAACTCCAGGTTCATCCTCTTCAAGGACTATGTGGCTGATGTAAAAATGTTCCCCATGCCAGAAATAAGTGTTAATTATACTGAAGTACATTTGCCTAGTACCTACCCAGTAATGCACTCTTCACTGAAAAAACTGTGCATAATGAATTAGTAATGATAGAAGTGAGACAGCCTTCTAGTAAGCACTAGCACATTTTAAAGGAAATAACTGCATTGATATGTAGAATAAGAGAGATCTAATTTATCTGTAACCATGCCTGAAATTCAGATTTAATAAGAATCTGTCACTTATGAGTATTAAAAATTCTTGACAGGTATGATGTGTAGGCACTTAGGGGTCCATGCACACAACTGCTGCAGATTTGAGTATCATCTGCTTCAACAGAATGATGAGCATCCTTATCAGGTGTTGCTCGGACACTTCCAGGTAGTGTCATAGATTGCCGATGAGCCCTGACCCCACACATTCCTACTGGCCCATCACTCATGCAGGGCTGTCTCACTAGCAAATAGGAATGTGTGAAATGTGGGAGAGGCTGGCAAGATTTACCACTAAAATGCATGCAGTGGAACCACACTGAGCCTGCCTTCTTTATTTCAGCAGAGTGTTTTTCAAACCACCTGCCTTGTTTGCAGGAATCCAGAATTCTGTGGACAACTGGCCCAAAAAAGGTCAGTGCACATGGAGGTGTTCCATATCTTGGGCACTACATTGCTGTGTCCAGTAGGGTTCAGGGATAACATCATTGTCTGACAAATTCCTAATATCTCCCAGAACTCTTCCATTAGCTGCCTCCACTGTCTTTTATTTACTGCTGACAACTTCCTTTCACAACCCTCCCCCCCAGCACTCATGACTTGTCTTATAAATTTTGAGTGACACAAATGACCCCACCCAATGCATAATAGTGACACTGTAGAACAGTGATTGCAATTCTTGGTAAAGCTCTTTTATGTGCAATCTCCAAGACATCCTTAGCTGCGTAAAGTGCACTGTGTAAAACATTGTGCTAGAATTCAAGAGTGAAGAGCCTGGCCCCACATACTGCATGGTGCTGATTACAATTCTCTAAATCAAAGCCCTTAGCCAATAGGTTTGTTCATGTAAGCATGAAGTCAGCAATCTGACACAACTGTGTCTGAATTGTCACAAGACTTCCAAAGATGAGAGTTAGTAAAGAAGATAATCGCTCCATATCTGATACAAGGCTACACAAATACGGATGGTTCAAAATGTATCAGATGTGGGCTATTTAAAATTTGTCCATAGGCCTATCACTGACTGCCAGATGTCTCATTGAGGGCAGTGAGACATACATGTCTGCGATTCAAAAAACTCCCATGTCGCCAAGGTTTTACAGGATTATTCAATAAAAAGGCAAGTTTAAGGTGCATTAATAAAATAACCAGCATTCACCTTTTACTTATCTGTGACATTTTTAGTTTATAAAGAAAACTGGTTGTGGAGCTTTACACTTTATTTTTGCACCATCTTACCCAGATTGCCTCATAGAAATTGACTAACATCCTAGAGCAGGGGCGCCCACAGTTTTTTATCGGGAGATCTACTTTTCACAAGCTCAATGAGATCTACCAACGAAAAAACACCTGCATTCAGGGGCGGGAGGGGTTGTGGCGGTGCATTGAAGTCAACGGCACCGCAGGCAGGCCCCTCGCCCACAGTGCGATCGCCTGCACCCGCAAGCCCTTCCCGCCGGTTCCTTAACTTCTTCTCGGATCCCCGCTGCATACCGATGGGGAGAGCAGCGATCACTGATAGATCGCGGTCGACCTTATGGGCATCCCTGTCCTAGAGCCTTCTGCCATCAGCTCTCTATAATTTACCCCTGTGTATCCCAAAAATGTGTTCAGCCACAACACTCTGTCTGAGCAGCTAGTGCTGACATTTTCCATGACGGTTTGTGTGATCAGCTTTTTGCTATGGAGTTTGTCACTGACAATATGGATGCATACTGTTTTTAGAGTAGTGTGAGTATATCAATTGTTGCTTGTTAATAAATGTTTTTCACTTTAATACAACACGAGTGAAAGGCACCTTTTCTCTTTTTTTGTCTTTACTCCTGTTTACATTAAAATGTTTTTAAGGCTTCTAAGTGACAAGTAGGCATTCATTAGAGGAAATATCAAAAAATAAATTGAGAGAATATATTGCCAACAAAACAAACTAAAATGGACATACCTGGAGCTTTTTCAACAAAAATGACTTTGGAATCCTGATGAAAGTTGTGGCCAGACACAACCATTTTCTTTCCTCCAATCACCGGGAAGCTGTCAATACTTTGTTTTTCTACCAAAGGCAATTCCTGAGCAGACCGCTGGGCTACAAAGAAAGTGAAATATAATACAAGCATCACTCAACAGCTTTTCAAATGCCCTGAGTAAATATAGCAATATCCCTAATATAGATTATACACAAGTGCTCGGGAAGTGGTGACACAATGCAATAGATATGCTTACCGAACAGGGTGCACAATGCATGTTATTAGAGACTGGGAGCTTGTGGCTTCACAAGCCTGTAGTCAGTTACTAGCCAGCTTGTAGTTTTTGTTAGCTATCACGAAAGGGAATCAGGCATATCGTACTATAGAGAATCAATTATATGCATTGGATAAACTTGTATTTCTCATACAAAACATAGTCAAATACCTCCAGGTTCTCAATGATCACAGAAAAGCTGTTCAAAACTGAATGCATCTAGCCTAAGCATAAGGACAAATGTACCGTATATACTCGAGTATAAGCCGTCCCGAATATAAGCCGAGGTACCTAATTTTAGCCAAAAAAACTATTAAGGCCGTACAAAAATCAAAGATGATGTTCATGGTACAGTGCCACTAGTTGCTTTAAGTTATGAAAGTATGAACATTTTCACTGTCCTTTGTACTGTGCTGCTGCATACGCTTGATGGTAACAAATCAGGGGTAAATTTGGGTTCAATTATAAACATACTGTAATTGCAAAGATAACCAATGTGTTGTAATTCACAGAAGCAAAACAGATAAATGCTTTAGCTGCCTAAATAACCATGCCTTCTTTGAGTGCCTTAGCAATGACAAAATTAGCTTCAACCTCATTGATGTCTGAGATTTCCTCAACCAGCTGGCTGCAAAGAGATGCCTAGGGGGTGGAAGTGTGCCACAGTCAGAACTTTTCAGCTGAATCTCTGCATGAAGGAAGATTCGCCCTGATCCAGAGACCTTATAACCCTGATATTCCTCATTAAAAAGGGCACACTAATAAAAAAACATGAAATGTATCTGGCTGCTAATGGTTGAGTAAACCTACACATATGAGATGATTAGGATCAGAAATGTTCACCAGATTGTTCTTGGGAGAACAGATAAATGATCAGACTGGATTTACGTGGGTGATTAGCACTGTTTGAGATAAGAACAACGTTTGTGGATGCCTGGCTATTTTTTTCTGGTTTCTTCTATTATATTACATGCACACCTAGGCTGAACACACCTCTACTAAAAATATGATTTAGTGAGGTGCACCGAAATTGAATTTTCAGACCGAAAAGAAAAAATTTGCCAGGCTGAAACTGAAAATTATTTTTTTTCTAACCTTTTTAAAAATTATTATTTTTTACATTGTATTTATTCATCTAAACAGACCCCTGATACTTCCCTTGTGAAATAGATACAGAGATTGAGGATACAGAGTCTTCAATCCCTTTTTCTGCAGCCCCTGTTATGAATGAACAGGAAGCCTCTATACTGAGTGTTCCTGTCCATTTATAAACTGTGATTTTGAATGAATGAACAGAAATTGATGTAAAGCACTTCCTGTTCATTCATAATTGGGGACACAGTAAACATACCATATCATCAATTAGTTACGAGCACTCAGCGATCAGCCTGTTAGTTGAGTGCTTGTAACCACTCTCCATCCTGACTCATTCGGCTGTCACAGGATGCCGAGCAGGGCAGGCGGGAGAAGAGCTCGGCCTCCTGTGACACGCTCACAGCGCTCTCCTTTCCGCCCCGCTTGGCCTACTGAGAGTTTCTATTCTCCCCACTGGACACTGCTCTGTGTCAGAGGGGACACAGAGCAGCGCTGAGCAGGGAGATGAGAAACTATGGATGCACAGCAATTTCAGCCGAATAATTGTACTTTCGGCATTTTGCTCAAAGTTAGATTTTCGGCCAATATGCTTCGGTGCCTCTCTTTTAGTGATAAGATTATGTGTGCATGTCAATTTGCTATCTAACATCTTCGGCTAGCTTTATCAAAAGCCCTATATTAATCAAGGTGTTCAAAATTGCATTAAGATGCAAAAGACGACCTTACCAGTGCCGTCTGGTAAGACGGCACATCTGAGATACTGGGAATATAGTCATGCCTCTTCCAAACGGCATTCTCTGGGTGCCAAAACAGTGTCACGAGGGGGTACATATCCAGACATGTGCAAATATCAACTTTTCTGAAAGCTGGTAGTTGCTTAAGATTTTCTAGAGGCTCCAGTGGCACTTTAAAGAGGATTCCTTTGCAGCTATAGACATTATGCAGGTAGCTTACTAGAAATAGGTGTGGGAAAAGTTCACTTTAGGCAAGATTAAATTGCATCATTTCAAATGCTTAAAATTATTGTTAAGCATTTGCTGCAGTGGTTTCTTGAGATACCAGAACATTTAGTAAATTGTTTTGAAACTAACAGGATGGGTGATACATTAGGGATAATTTGAGGTTTATACGTCACTTAAAGGAAAATTCATTTTTAAAAAGTAATTGTAACATTTAAATATGCCTTTTTGTAAGTTCAAGTCTTTCAGGGCTAAAAAAAATACAATACCAGATAAGCTGGGAGGGCTAATTAGGCTCTTTGAGATAACACAGGCAGAGGACAGCTCTGAATTTCTGACATGATCAACATACACTTTTTGCACTTATTTAACACATAACACTTTCAATGGTATGTTTAAGAGACCAAATAAGAGAAGTTTGGGATTACATACACTTTAAATTCATTGAAATCACTTTTCTATTTCAAACTGAAGTCAGCAATGATTTTCTAAAACTGCCATAATATTTAAAGGTTATCTCACTGCAACCATGATAACAGTACACTGCAAATAGTGCTTCTATCCTCTGCTATTGTAATTGCTTTCCCCAGAAGGCTGAACAAAGCTAGGAGGTAAAAACTGCAGGTGTCCCTGTAATGCCCTTGGATTTACCACCATGTCACTTTAATTTCTGATAAAATAAGCAAGAGTGCTGTGCATCTTGTAGGATGCTGGGGCCGCAAAATGTTTCTTATCAGAGTACTGGGACTAGACATGTGATTTGGCAGGCAGATCCTTCCCACTTAAGAATGAAAGTCCTCTATAATATCTGTAGTTTATATAGGTAATGAGAAGGGGTTTTTGTATCTTTAAAACTGGAGTTGTAGTTTAACTGTATCAAAAGATCATGATTTTCATAGGCTGTACAGGAAGCATATACACTATACATAGGCAAAAGTTTGCCATGCAGAAAACACTCATAATGACAATGTCACATATCAGGACTGTGTACGGTATCATCTGTAGTGTTACCACAGTTCTTATATGGCACATTTACAGTACTGTAAGGCACATTTGCAGAGCCTGAGCAAAAATAACCAAAGTTAGGGTTTACAGAAAATAAACACAATGTGCTTTTAACATGCCATATCTTAGACTACATTGTTTGTAACCTATGCTTGCATAAAGAAAATGGTTTGGCAATTTTCATCTAAAAGTTGTAACAGTGGCAAATCTACCTTTCATTATAGAATATTATTTCCTGTACCTAATGGGGCTTTCCCTGGAAAACATTTAGGTATTACAATGAGTGAATGGTTTACAACCAGGATGTACGAGCAGAGCTATATGTGAAGGAAAGGGAGGCTCCAATAAAATAATACTGGCTTCTATCCATTCACGAACAACAAATTCCATGTAATACGCACATATTGAGAAATATGCATCTAGGGATAACCATTTCCTTTAAAAACAACCAAAAAACTTTGCCTCATGTTTCCCATAAGAAATGTGAATAATGTAAAATATGATGCCCAATGAAGACAAAAAGTGCTTTCCTGCTTCACTTAAAATCATAATCAAAATATAAATCTGAATTCCTTAGATATTCGGGGTGTCAAGTTATTATTTACGCTAATAGAAGCCAACTCTTTTTGTTTGCATTTCACCTGTAACTTGAGCCCGACACATCATTGAATATGTCTTTTTAGATATCCACTTTCACAGCTACTAAATAGCAAAACAAACACACATATGCTATTTACTGGTATGTGGAGTCTCACCATCTCTTGTTAGGAGGTAGGTATAAACCAGAGAGAATTTCAGCTAGTTCTTGATGAACCGGATTACATTTGCACAGTGGATGCCCCTGTCTGGAACCTTCCATCCGGCATAGACTCAGAAAGAGAATATTCCGGGCGAACAGTGACAGCAGCCAATTGGATACAGAGGGAGATTCAGCCATCCACACGGTTTAGAGTGTATGGAGAACTATGTTATGTTTTTTTTGCTTACCCAGCAGGCTAAACAGAAATTATAACAGTGTATGGCCTGCTTTACTACATCAACTGTGAAACAGAATAGTGACATGAATCAGATCCCAATGATAACAGCCAGAATGGATCAAGGAGCATATTGTGGTGCTCATATATGCTTTAAAGAATTAATAACTCACAGCACTCAATTGGATTGGATGCCACTTGCAGTGTCAGCGTTCTCCCATTGGGTTGTGGAATGTGAACACGGAACACCAGACGCACTCTAGTGTTCTTTCTTCCAATGTCAGTTTCCCCTTTTCGCAGCTCAATGTCAGAATTGCGCAGCTTCAGTATACCGGCACAGTCAATACTGTTCAAAAAGAAATTCAGAGTGTTAAGAGTTTGCCAGATTACAATGTACAAATTTAATCAGCTACAATACATCTCTTGGTATATACCTTGAAATGTTAAATTATGTTTATGCAATGTTTGGCTATGCAACTAAAAGGACAGACTGACAAAAAGCATGGTAGGATTTGCTGATCGGGAGTAAACTGATCCTAAATTGTAATTCTAGCGCATAAAGACAGTCTTCACTTCCTAGACACTTGCACCAAGAGCCATTAGCTGCACCTCCCTGGCATAGCCCGTTAATTGCTTTTGCTCCCTTTAACAGGGGTGGTTCTTTTGGAATGGAAAAAAAGGACGACACAGCCACTGTTTTTTGGCGATGGGAACCAGAATGTGATTGGTAGCAATTAAAATTCTGGGAAAGCGTCAAGTTTTATTCCTGGAGGCGTTTGCTCATAAAAATGTTCTGGGCTTTTAACACGGGCCAAGTGTACCACCCGCCCGATGGAAGCGTCATATCATTCGCCAACTTCGACACCGGGACCAGCAACAGCACGCCGCCTGTGAGTACTCCTCCCCCAGCCTGGTAAGACATCCCCCGAAAATAAGACCTAGTGTCTTTTCGTGCAAAAAAATAAATAAATAAGACAGTGTCATATTTTCAGGGAAACACGGTAGTAAAATGCTGGTAACAGACCTCTAAAGCATTTTGAGTGTCTCAGAGCAAGGCATCTATTCCAATTAGCATGTTTCATTTTAGATACACAAAACATGCAAGCCTCTCCACTACAGACCGTACTGAATACCAGTCCACATGAGACACTGGAGGGCAGTTGGCTGTGCAGGAATGATCTGGCCACCCCCTGGCACCTGTCACAGCATAACACTCTACAAGCAGGAATGTTTGGTTCAGTCGAACATTTATGTTCATATCAATTAAGAGGGGAGGTGGGAGAACAAGACCAAATCAATTGCACTAAACATGAGATTGTTCCTTAACAGTCATTTTTGTGATCACTTAGATTTTGTTTTTAGTTTTCTTTAAACTTCCATAGATGGCACACAAGTGTTTTTGTTACACTGATTAAAGGCGAACTAAACCGAAGAAAAAAATATAACCTATTGCCTTAGATGTGGTGGCTGCATTCGTATTTATTTCAGGCTAAGAACATTTTCAAGAAGTACAGAAAATACCTGTTGATCTTGACAGAAATGCAATGCCCTTGTTACTTCCTGCATGCTAAACAGAAATATAAAACAATCATGTCTTTCTTTTGTAAACTACCAATCTTTTAATTCCACATGTAATGGAGATGAACGAAGGCAAAAAAAGTCCAGCCGGGGTGACAACCATGGCTACCTTCATAGATACAGTAGAGTATACATAGCCACCTAGGGACATGAGCTTGTTCTTCTTAAGAAAACGAATGCAAGGACTGTTAAGATGCAATATATTAAGTTTTTTTTCTGGTTTACATACATTTTAAACAGCAAAAAAGTTCTTGGAAGTTTCCTCTCTAAAAAAACAAAAACACTATAGTATAGGTTTTGTACTTTTCAACTGTTTTACATTAAAGGACACCAGAGGCAAGGCTTGGAAGTATGCACAAAATGTTTTTTCTATGCTGGTGCAGAGTTTCACCATGAAGGAACTGTGCTGTACCTCAAGTCATGAGAGGGATATGATATTATCAATGTTGAGTACATGCTGTCATAAATCTTTCAGTTAATAATTTTACTACTAACAGAAATATGACCGATTTTTATATGTCAGGAACTCTGTATTCACCAAGTAGGCCTGTACGGCATTTCCTGCTAAAGTCATGAATTTGTCATTTCAAAAGATAAGGATGACATGAGGCCTCTTTTTGAAGTCTACTCTAATTATTTGTATATGTGTTCGAAGAAAAAAAACAAAAAAGAGTGGTTATTTGTGCTGGATTTTCAAATGGCTTCATATTCAATTACTTAGACATCTGAAACCCAAATCATGTTTATGCTTTAAACAGTTATTAGTTCTAAAAAGGACTGTTTTAGATTGAGTGGCAATTAAATATGCAAACAAATTCAGAATATTCAGTCACACCACTCCCCAACAGGAGTTGGAAAATTCTACCTTTCCCAATGTGAATATTTGTTGGATTATCAAAATGAAACCCTATTTTATTAAGATCTGAATACTCAAGTTCGCCAATGAGAATCCCAAGAATTTGAAGCAAAAAAAGACATGCCCAATGGGACTACTATGCCTATTATGACTAGGTAATGAAGAGTAAAAATAGTTAGGGCACATATAAAGATGGAGTTGCTCTAGTGAGAAGGAAATCATTCTAAATAAACTAGTGTATTTATCAAAATTTAGAACTCTGATGGGTTTTTTTTTTGCCCTAAGGGATTTACAATCTTTTGGGTCCAATCTCGATATAACTTGGTAAGAATGAAGCCTATTTTCATCCACTTTCTTTTTGGAAATACTATCAAGTACATTAGCCGACCATAATTCCAAGCTTATAAATATTCACAACCTTTTACTGTCCTTAGTGCACCGATAACTTTTAGGGCTATGCTTTAGAGATAAATCAGGAATATTTATGTATATTATGGGATATCAGGTGGGCTTTCCAACCTTAAACCTTAAAAAGTGACACTAAACCCAGGAGTTAAAACTTAAAAATGCATTCAAGTACCCTATTAACACAAATGTATCTTCTTTGTGTATCACTCAGCTGTAGATCCTCAAATCATCTCTGAATTGGTGCTGACACTGTCCTTCCTTCTGGAGTGTGGCTACTTTTGTTCCCCATGGTCCCGGTGTATATTATAGAGTAGCCACCAGTCCAAGATCACTCCCGTGATGGACTACACTCACGTTTAGTTTACTAATTTGTATTGAGATTGTAGTCTATCACAGTAGTGAGCTTGGAGTGGTGGCTACTTTATAACACACAGGGGCCCTGGGGAACAAAAGTAGCCCCCCATCCAGAAGGAAGGACGGTGTCAGCACAAATTCAGAGATGATTTGAGTTTCTACAGCCGCGTGATACACAGATAAGATACATGTTTGTTAATAGTTAAGGTGCTTGAATGTATTTTTAAGTTTTAATGCCTGAGTTTAGTGTCACTTTAAATTGCTATCTGATTGTACACTCTATGTGCAATATCCTTTAGATGTACTACAACTATGTAAAACTAGGCAAATGAAACCTGAACAATCTATTGCTTCTCAATTTTGTCTTCTCTGAGCCCCGGTATCTACTCTGGCTACTTGCCCTACAGTCTCCTGCTTATGAACATGTTTGATATCTCAGGTTTGAATCTGGGGTTCTTGAGCAATAAAAGTTTCTAAATTCAGATTTGAGTTTAAAACATCAATAAAAATGCAATTCCAATTTTTTTAAGCTCCACTTTTAAACACAACCCAAGCTATAGTAACTATATGTATTCAAACTAATTGGTGAATGTGTACCTTCATTGTAGAAACAAATAAATGTAGCACTTTCCAAACCAACAGCAATAACACATTTTTCTTTACCTCCCCAGAGAAGTTTAATTGCATGCTTGAAAAAGCTGTGCACTTCAAACTACAAGATCCAATAAGTGTCACGCTATAAAGTGAACACTGAGGCTGAAGTGGATATTTACAGCTGTGTAACTGAGATGTGATTTATAAAAAGAAACAGTCACACGGGCTCAAAAAACTCCGGACTAATGCAGTCCACTGTCAGAAATGTTGTTTTAAGGTATAAAGCCTGTGTAATATATTGGCCTTGCATTTATGATTTTCTCAATAATATTCAATTTCTATTCTTTTACTTTTTCTCCTTTTCTGCTTCACTTTGCTGTTTCGTCTTGTCACTTGCACATTTGGCAATTGCCATAAGAATCTACACATCAGGAATACTCATGTGCATACTAAAGGCTTATAAGAGCACACTAAAGGGAACACGTCAGTAGAAACAAATGAGAGCGACCAGTGTTGACTTGTCTTTAAGGGTGCAAGCCTCGAAGCTGTCATGCTTATCCACGTTTCACTGCTTAGTGAGTCACTGACCCACTACAAATATGCAGCTAGTGAAGTCAGAACTCCTAACCTGCATACTTGTTATGAGTGAGTGACTTACAGAGTTTACAGCAGTGGTATCTTACATATTTTTATCCTTACAGGTTCCCTTTAACCAGACTGGCAATGCAGGTATGGTAAGAGAGAAATGGTGCATGTTAGCATGGTCTTTAGTCATCTAACATTTTTTTTTTTTTTTAAACAATATCCAAGTAGTAATGGGGAAGCATCTGTTGTTCTGTTTTAATCTAGGAGGTTAAAAGATTGAGCGTAAATAAAACCTGCCTATACTGCTGCTGGCACTAAAAAAAAAAAATTTAAAAAAAATAACAAAAATAACAAAAGTAGCCACCCTCCTTTGGAGGGTGGCTACTTTTGTTCCCCATGGTCAATGTGTGTGTAGTAAAGTTGTCACTGCTCCAAGCTCACTCCCGTGATGGACTACAATCACATGTTTTGTTTACCAACTTGTACTGAGATTGTAGTCTAGTTACTACACACACACAGGGACCATGGGAACAAAAGTAACCACCCTCCAGTAGGAAGGACAGTGTCAGCACCAATTCAGAGACGATTTGAGGATCTACATCCAAGTGATACACAAATAAGATACATTTTTGTTAATAGTTAAGGTACTTGAATGCATTTTTAAGATTTAACTCCTGAGTTTAGTGTCACTTTAAGATGCATGAGGAGGTGATGTCAGGATATGAACATAGGAAGAAGCTATTACCAGCAGCCGTTCTGGCAAGTATTTTACTTCAGGATTGCTTTAAAAATACAATTGAAATCTTCCCCCCCGAAAGAAAAATCTATTTCTAAGCAGCTGAAATAACGGCTACCTACCTGTAAAATCTTATTTTTCTGTACAGTCATTCATTGGATTTATCAATGCTCCTACACAATATGGTTGTTTTACTTGATGCATGCCTGTGTTTTTAACAGTTAGCATAAATTGC